GGGGCACGGCACCACCGCCCAAGCCGTGCGGTGGGAGCTCGCCTCCGCGGAACGCCAACGCCCTTCGCAGCGCTCCTGCGTCCTGCCAGGGACGCTGTCAGTGCCCAGAACTCATCCACGGCGTGGGCCTTCGCAAGATCCAGCGTCTCACCTCCGCACACACCTGAAGGTCCCTCCTCAGCAGACACCGAATGTCGCTGCACCCCACGAACAGCGAGGTGTCAGCAGTTCTGTGCTGTAATGTTGTGAGCGGTCTGAAGTGTCTCTGAATCACTCTGGGAGCTCACACTGCACATCACGAACCATTACAGACCCGGAGCAGCGTGCCCGGGGTTTCACCCGCGCTGGCTCCACGGCAGTCACGACACCGAAAGGGCCCCCAGCTATTCCCCATTTCCGAGGCTGGCCGGGCAGCGCTCGGGGCGGGGGATCGCCACGCTGAGAGGAAGGGCGGGCTGGAGCCTTGGGGCTGCTTTCTGTTTCTGCAGGTCCCAGGCTCCGGATGGGAGAACCGGGACAGGGCAGAGCAGAACTGAGTCAGCAGCACTGGAGACCAGCAACGCTGAGCCCGAGCCAGGCTGAGTCACAGCCACAGCTGCCGACACCAGAGGCCACGCCAGCACGCAGCGCTGGTGCTCTGGGCGCTCAGAAACGAGCTGCAGGCCTGGGACCGCTCTAAAACTGAGACCCCTTCCTCTGAGCCCCTGAGAATCTCGGGTGACAACAGCACAACACAAGCCCAACTTCTCTCTCCCGTCTTTGCCAAAGCCACTGTCTAGTGTCCATCCGTTTACACCGCTGCTTCTCCACCGGCGCGGTGGCAGCCCCCAGCGCAGCACCCGTCCCCGACACCCTGCGGGCCCCGGGCCGTGGCCATGTTTCATCAACAACATTGTCTCACACGTTTTTGGGATGCGACACCCAGACCGCTCGCCTGCTGCCGCTCATCCAGGCGCTGCGTTCGGGTTCCAGCCCGCTACCAAGATGTCCCCTTTGCCTTCCCAGCGACACAGACCGGGCCACTAACACTGTATTCTTAAAGAAAGCCTAAACCACGTTTTAAAAGCCCGCTGTTCAAAGGCCACGGAAATGCTTCACCATCAGCAATCAGAAGCTTGTGACTCACTCCAGCGGAGCCAGAGCTCCGCCAGCCCCCCGAGGACTGCGGTCTCCGGGTTTACAGACCCTGGCTCCCCCCGACACTCCTCTGCTGCGCTGTCCTCACCGC